GTAGCTGTGGTAACTAGGCCGCAAACAAGGTTCTTACCAGAAAATTTGTACTTACGACTTGAGTCTGATTCTCCGAGCCAATTTCTGGTATTCTTGCTTCGCCAAGTTAATTTAAAACCAAATCTTTTTTTCTATATCAATTTTTATTTGTTCTTTTCAAGTTTTTATAGTTATAATCATAAAACTAACTTAGAATTAACCTAATAGAGTATCTATATAAATAAAAAAAATAAAGTGATAAAAGGGAGAAGCAAAAAAAAACTAACTAATAACATATATCTATATACAAAATTGCTCGCCTCATAGGCGCAGTATCATCCGGTAGTTGCAGGGCGATCTCCAGTATTATTATATATCCGTAAGGTGTTATCAAAGCGTAGTACGATCATATAAAGCGATCAGAGACGTAGTGTTATTATATTATATTTCTCGCAAAACGATACCAAAGCATAGTAAGATCATGTAAAGCGATCAGAGACACAGTGTTATTTTTTTGGAATTCCGCAAGGCGATACCAAAGCATAGTAAGATCATATAAAGCGACCAGAGATGTAGTGTTATTATATCATATTTCTCGCGAAGCGATACCAAAGCATAGTAAGCTCATAAAGCGATCTTAGACACAGTTTTTATTATATTTCCACGCGCCGATATCACTTAAATCATATAGGTATGTTATATATTCAGTCCTGAAGTTTTGATGCATTTATCAATATATATTTTTTACCTAAAACTAACATTTGTTTTTACTATAAGTTTTATTTTTTTAAAAATGAATGATGAAATCGATTTATTTTACAACACGCATTCTTTAATCGCCTAGCAGCAGCTTTGACCAACAATATGGAATTAAAGGGAGCTATAGAAAACCATGAAAAATTAGATAAATATCTATGTGATGAAGTAGATGGTGACCGATATTTCATATCAAATAAGGATGATGCTTCTGACATTGAAAATGAATTGATCATCGAACCAAATCAGTGATTTGATAGAGAAGATGACTCTGATGAAATTCCTGAACCACAATAACAAAATTTTGATGAAAAATATTTTTATGGTAAAGATGGAACAAAATGGAATAAAAATGAAAATTAATGAATGCTGGTGTTCGTATACGTCAACACAATATTATGCGCTTCCGAGCAGGACCCAAAGAAAAAAACTCTATTCCACTTGAAATTTTTGACTCATAAATTATCCAAGTAATTATTACCAAAACGAATCGTTATGGAAGAGATTCAGTGGGTAATGCCAATAAAATACAAAAAATTTGAAGCGATGTTACTGAAGCTGAGTTAGATGCGTTTATTGCGATACTATTGGTGGCTGGTGTTTCCCACAATAACAAGCAAAACTTCGGCCATGTCTTTCAAACGCTTTCGCATAATAACACGATTTGTTCGGTTCGACAATGACAATTGTTGGGTTGAACTTTACTCAAAATATTATATTTTTTGTATTTTACAAAAACAAATTATTAAAATAGACTCGTTGAGTCTCGGGCACTTTTAAGAAAAATAAAGTTTCAGTTTCTCGTTTACTCTTATTAAAGAAAGTTGGTGTTTTTATTACTTTTCGCGAATTTGAATAATTGAGGAGTTTTTTGTTTTTTTACGGTTTGCTATTTTTGCTTTTTGTGAACATTGTAATTTTAACTCAGATCAAAGAAAAGCCTTTGATCAGACATTTTTTGACGCCCAACTTGGGGCTGGTGAACATTATTATTTTGAATTTTTTATATATACGTATTTATATATAAAAAAAAAACATAACGTTTTATAGTTGGTATCCAGTACCCGTTACGATTTTCACATGTGCTCTGTGCGTTAATAAAATCACGTTGTTTTCGATATTCTTACGGTAGTTGGTACTTTGCCATCTTGCTGCTACATCTGCTGTCAACTGCGACGCTTTAGTTCTCGCTGCGCTGTCTTGCTGTTACATCTGCTGTCAACTGCGACGCTTTAGTTCTCGCTGCGCTGTCTTGCAGCTACATCTGCTGTCAATTGCGACGCTTTGCTGTTTTTTGATTGCGTTTTGGTTTTACATATTTTTATAAAATTTGTGCATCTTTTGCTACGCTATTTTTGGTTCTGGTCGCTGCTGTGCTGCTGCGTTCGATTTATTATTGTTGCGTTTTGTTTTCTCGGTTTTCGATATATCAATTGTTCACAATATTTTGATTTTTGCATCTACGACTATTTAATTGGATTCTCTTATGGCTACTGAACTTAAACAGCAACGTGCTAACACGAAGAAGAATATAACTCGGATCAGGAGTATCATAGAACGAAATGCAAAATCAGACACAACGGTTTTATTGCCAATTGAACAAAAATGCCGTTTAGGTATTTTGGAATCGTATTTCACGCAGCTAATGAGCTATCAAACTCAAATTGGAGAATTGGAACCTGAAGACAATATAAGAGGCGAGCTTGCGGATCTGTATGTCAACATCAAAACATCTATTCAAGAGCAACTAGATCAGGATTTGCATATGTCGTTACGAGTTTTCACCTGTTTCATCAAATACGAGATTGCCACTGTTGAAATTGCCGTCGTTTAGTGGAACATACTCCGAATATAAATATTTTATTTTGTCTTTTAATCAAATCATTGACAGAGAAGTTGAATTGTCAAATATTGAAAAATTTGATCATTTGTTAAACTGTTTACATAGACAAGCATAGGATACCGTAAAGGTTTTTCAAGTTAGTAACGAAAATTATCCAAAGGCACTTCAAAGATTGAAATCCCGCTATGATAATAGCAGCTTAATTTTTATGGAAAATATTGCTTCACTGTTGCCAATTTTTTGAATCGATTGAAATGCCTATCGGTCTCAAGACACTATTCGTAGGAATGACAACAAGTTTTCTAAAAAGATCGATAAACATCAATCTCGTCAAAATTGCACATTTGTTTGCACTAAACGCACTTGTTCGTTGTGTGACACTACTGATCACATTATTACTGGTTGTCAGCGCTTTAACAATATGTCCGTTCCGGATCGTTTCGAAAATGTGAAAAGACTTTCTCTCTGCATAATCTGCTTATCTAAAAATCATAAAGTTACTCAGTGTACATCTACTTTCAAATGCAAGATTTGTTCACGGTCTCATCTTACATCAAGTACGTTTTCGTTATCGCCAGCACCTCAACCTACGGTGCAAACTACATCAGCTGTTGATAACTTACCTATGCTTCAAAAAACATTGCTTGGTTGGGTTGTGTCAGGGAAGTATAATTCTGACACTCCATTTTCAACTAAATCTTCTGCTTTCTTACTTTCTTGTGAAGAAGCCATTAATTTCAATCTCGAACAGTTGTGGAAATTAGATGAAATTAGTTCTACACCTAAGCTGACTGATGAAAAATATAATTGCGAAACTGAATTTTGTAACACTGTTTTACGTAATGCTAGTGGACGTGTAGTAGTTCGATTACCATTTAAGGATACATTAAGTTCACTTGGACTTTCACGAGATATCGTTTTTCGAAGATTCACTGCATTGGAACGTCGCTTATCACATATGCCAGAAATAAAGGCACAATATGTTGCATTTATGATTGAATATGAAAATCTTGGACATATGACCCGGATCGAAGGACCTGATCTTCGTACATCCCACTGCTATATACCTCATCATTGTGTGCTCAAGCCAAATAGTACTTCTAAAAAGCTTAGAGTTGTATTCGACGCCTCATATCGTACTACAACGCAAAAATCACTTAATAGCATTCTTATGGTTGGTGCTACAATTTAGGAAGATTTGTTTACGGTTTTGTTACTGTAGTAAACGGACGTAGTACAACACTGGTAGTAAACGTATGTTGTACAACACGGGACAAGAGAAGAGCAGCTGTCAGAAAAAGGGCGGCAAGATAAGCGTTTGGTGTAAGATTAACAATTAGTGTGTTGTATTGTAATTAGATAAATAAAGTGATACGAAATAATATAGAACTGTATTTATGTGTAACTAGCGAAGTTACTACATTGGCGACGAGGATAAAGCTAACATGAATGCGGAACAGTTTAATTTGTTGTTGGAAGCTGTGCAAAAATCAAATAACGCTTTGCTTGAGAAGCTTCGTTTGTCGTGGACACAACAATAAATTGATGCGCCTTCTTCAACTACACAAGCAGTTTCGTCAACATTCAGGAATCTATCTGACTCAATGCTGGAGTTTTGCTATGATCCTGAAAATAATGTCACATTTGAATCATGGTACAAGCGTTATAAATCAGTTTTCGCTATAGAAGCAGCACATCTCACTGAGCCGACTAAGGTTCGATTGCTCACTAGCAAATTAAAAAATTTGGATTTCGAGCAATATGTATGCAAACTCAATCTTACTAAAGGAACCCCATGAGCTTACACTCATGCAAACGGTTGCCAAACTCTCAGCGCCAAAAATGTCTTACAATTTCAAAACAGGATTATGAAGACTTTGCTCAGTATTCAGCTCGCGTCAACAAACATTGTGAAAAATTTGACATCGTTAATTGCGCTCCTGATGAGTTTAAAGCACAAATCTTTGTTAATGGCTTGAAGAGTTCACACAATTCGTTAATACTTGAGAAACTTCTTGCAAGACTCGACGATGAATCAACACAGTTTGGTGCACTTCAGACACAGGCGCAAAAGGATGCCTTCATGCACTTAACACTTCAAGACCTCACTAATGAAGCTGAACGTATAATCTGTCTGAAGCAAGACAAATACACTGTCGTCCAGCTATCTTCAAGTTCAGAAATTTTTACAATTCACCATCGATATCAACGCAAAAATGAATCATTACTATCAAATTCTTCAACAAAAGACGAATCTTCGAAACCACCAACGCCATGTTGATGTTGTGGAGGTCTTCATTGGGTTAAAGATTGCCCATTTAAAGGCAAATAATGTTCAGCATGTAACACTATTGGCCACAAAAATGGTTACTGCAATATGAAGCCAAGCAAGCAATCTTAGCCTGACACATCATGTGTAAAGAAAATTGACGAAACTAACAGAATGCAGCAGCATCGTAGGTATGTCAGACCAAATCTCAATTAAACTCCAACTTGATACCGGGTCGGACATAACAATTATTTCCAAATCGAACTGAACCAAACTTGGCCAGCCAACCCTACAAACTACTAATAAAAAAGCTGGCATGCTTCTGGAAATGTAATTCCTCTTCTGGGCAGCTTTGCTTGTGTTGTGAACCTAAATGGAAGAGAGGAATATGATGTGTGTTATGGCACACCACTTAAGTTGAACGTGTTTGGAATTGATTAGATAACGACATTTGACTTATGGTCAGTGCCTATCAGTTCCTTTTGCAAAGCAATCCAACTAACTAGTAGCGATAAATTAAACGATGAAATAAAGGCTAGATTTCCGTCTCTCTTTTCTAATGACATTGGCTGCTGTACGCTCGACTAGTTCCATATGCAGCAGCTCCCATTGTTTCGGCAGAACTTGAACGTCTTCAACATCTTGGAGTAATTTTACCAATTGAATACTCACAGTCAGCGGCGCCAATCGTAGTTGTAAGAAAGAAGAATGGAAAAATTCGTATATGTGCCGATTATTCTACAGGTCTAAATGACGGTCTAGAGCCAAATAAATATCCTCTTCCAACGCCTGACCAAATATTCTCCAACCTCGCTAATATGAAAGTCTTTAGCACAATTGACCTATCAAATGCATTGTTCCAGATTCCAGTGGACCAAGAATCTCAAAAACTGATGGCTATCAATACTCACCTCGGCTTATTTAAAGTACTTAGACTGCAGCAAGGTGTTAAAACAGCCCCTGGCATTTTTCAACAAATTGTTGACACAATGCTTAGCGGAACCAATACCATTGGGTTTATTGATGATATGATCTGTTCGGGAATTAATAAAGAAGACCACAAAATTCAACTGTTTAAAACCCTAAAGCGTATTCAGGATTATGGATTCAAACTTCGCTTCGAGAAATGCAAGTTTGGAGAAACATCTATCGAGTTCTGCGGACACACGGTAGATCAATATGGTATCAGACCACATCCAGGGAAACTTCGATCAATCCAAGATCTCCCACCACCAATAATAAGTCATGCATCAATTTAATGACGGAACGCTTCACCCAATTATGCACTACTCAGCTACATTCAATGCAGCGGAGCGGAAGTATCCTCAAATGCACAAGGAGGTTCGAGCTCTCGTGTTTGGATTAAAAAAATGTCACTATTACATTTCTGGTCGTCGTTTTACCATTCATATCGACCACAAGCCACTTCTTGCTATATTCAACCCGAAAAATGGCATCCCGTTGTTTACAGCGGCTCGCCTATGCAACCACTATTCTGTCATACGACTTCTCTATTGAATACATAAATACTGACAGCTTTGGATATGCCGATATTATTTCTCGACTAATCGCAAACCATGTAAAACCTGATGAAGATACCATCATAGCATCTATTCAATTAGAAGAAGACGAGGACCTGAAAATCAATTGTTTTGCGGTAGAAACAGCCACCAAACTTCCAATCACTTTCACTAATATTGAAACAGCAACCAAAGCCTGTCATACTCTTAATAAGGTCACGTTCTACATTCAAAATGACTGCTGGCCTCAAAAGAGAAAACAAATCACAGATAATGAAGTAGCGGCAGTTTTTCCAGCATCGACATCATCTTAC